TCAACAAACATTCCCTTAGTCTAGTTAACAGAATGTTTGTCAAGTAAACCATTTTGAAACAAAATTAATAGTTTATAGATTATTTTGAAAAAAAAATTATTTCTAGACTAAATTGAAATAAATTATATAGTTAATAAACTATTTATTAATTTAGCTAGAAACTAGAGAAATAATTTATTCATAAACACTTTATGGCTTTATTCCATAAATAACTTTAATATTTCAATACATGATGCTTGTGTATACTAATTAGGACAATTAAAGCCATCAATTACTTATTAGTGAGGGTTCAAAATTATGACCCCCTTCTCCACCTCTCTTGCCCATTGATTGAACCAATTGCTCTACCTTGTCAAAAAAAAAAAAAAAAGACACCAATTATTCACGAAGAAGAATAGTAAGAGATGTTGAAAAATAACAAGTACTATTGAATTTTTCTTGAGTAGTCTATGAGGGTTGTTCCTCTTTTATAGAAATAGATTTTAACTTCAACCAAACTTAGTGTTGTATTAGCATTATTCTTGGCTTCTTGCAATGCAATCTTTGATTTTTTAGTTTTTTTTCTTGATTTTGTTAGTAAGTCATTTAGGATCCACTGGATGGTTATTCAGAGTGTAATTGAGTTTCTTGAGAATTTTCTTGAGATAATGTAATGAACTCTTAGTTTTGTCTAACCCAAGTTTAAAGTCGCCAAGCAAGTTGAAAACATCATCTGAACATTTGCCATGAACATCCTACTCACATGTCCAAAAGTTGAGATCTTTATTCTTTTTAATGTTCATCCAATACTAATTTAAATCTATCAACAGCCATTTATTTTAAAAAATTCAAAAAATAAAATTCCATTAATGAAATTCATGATTAGTTTTAAATGAAAAGATAATTAAATTTTGTGGAAATCTAGGGTTAGTGAGACTCACATTTTTAAGGTCAAGGGCACTCCTAAGCCCCTATCACATTTCTTGAAAATTGCATAGTTGGTGATGTTTCCATACCATAATTCATAAATAGTGAATATTAGTGGTACTGGAGTCATTATATACTTTAGCTCCTTGAACTGAACAGATGTTGGGGTTCCATTATTGTATCTTAAGTGGTAAAACCTCACATTAAGTGTATAATGAAGAAGTATGTGGGTTAAATGCAAAAAGGGCTACTCCACTTATTGCTAGTTGGTTTTATGTTGAATGTAAACCTTGTATTGAATCTCATAGGGACAATTTTTACATAGTATCAAATCCCAAGCTTCATTCTTGAGAAGCCCATTATTAGCCCCCTGACATTTCTATGGGAGTAATCTATAAAGGTTGTGCATTATTTGTGCATTACTTATACATTGTATGTAATTTCATTATTTATTTAATTTATAGGTTTTATTAAGTATTAAGCTCCAAGATAATGTAGTTTTATACTCTATTTTATGTAATTATTACAATTTATTATGAATCCAAAGTTGGGCATTGTAAATCTTCTACCAAGGTGAAACTCCTAAGCTAAAAGGTTTAAGCTTAAATCATTATATTTCCATTTTTTTCAAGGCAAGGATAGGTCTAAATTGTGCCACCCTAATGATGGGTTCTTAATTTTGTCTAGCCCAAATTTGAAGTAATCATGCTAATTGAATATATTTTGAGCATTTTCTATGGTCATTTTAAGGTGGCTATTTCTCTTGATCTTTGTAGATCCTTACCACCAGGTTGGGCAAGACAAGGATAGGAAGCATTTTCTTGTTGAAAAATTTTATTGGGAATTTTTCTTGTGCCATTGGATCCCCACTCCTAGTGAAAATTAAAAAGACAAAAAAATAATTGAATCCAATCCAATTTAAGTATTTAAGTAATAACCGTAGGTCATACCCATTACTAAGTATTTAATGCTTAGGAGTGGTTTGGTATAGCAGTTTAAAACTAGTTGTTAATAGTTTCATTTAATCTAATGAATAAGAGTGTTTGAATTATTAAAAATAATAATTATCAATCATTAGATTAGACAAAATTACTATTCGTTAAATTCAAATCGTTATACCAAACAATCTTTAATTATAGCCTAATACTAAAGTCCAATTATGTTAACCCTTTTGTGAGTTAAGTTATTGTATATACAGAAAATATGTACGAAATAATAGCACATAAGTGTTTATATAGAAACTATGTGCACTACACACCAACATATATACCCTAAGCATAAAATATCAATATCCCAAAGGGTGATAACCTATAGGCTTAAAATATCAATATCCATAACTTCGTGTTAGAATATTCTATTCTAAAGTTTCTTGCTTAATTATTGCATGTCTCTTCATAAACATATCATGTATAATAATTGTCATGAACCCATGCTTACACAGATGGATAGAGACAACTTAAGGGTTCCCCATTTCCTATATTTACACTTAGAATAGGAACACTTGATCTCCAATTTTTGCATTTAGTGTAGAGAATGCAAATTTAACAAAAAATTGCACCACCTCTTTAAATTTATCGGTAACAAAATCGTCATCATATACACAATGATTTATCCAACTATGACCCTTCAACATATTTCATTACCTAATCAAAATTTCAATTTGACAATGTATATTAATAAGTCAATCTCAATAATTAAAACCTCAAGTACATACATACCAATCTCAATAATTAAGATTTTACTTTTATAGCCTAAACATTACTACATTTATAATTAGACTTCAATTCGAAACAAAAAATTTTGAGTATTTAACAAAATTTTGATGATAAATTTGAAATAATAAATGAACACCACTCTAATTTACTAAAAATTTTTCCTAAACAAGATTTATGGTTGAAAAGGTAACTAAGATAGTATATATATGGTCCAAAAAGTAACAAAATTGAACCCTTAAGCAAATTTTAAGAAGGAATTTCAAACAACATACTACCTAGGTCTAATCAGCAAAACTAAGGATGAAATCAAAGCTTGAAGGATGAATTATGGCTGTTTTTCTTATCAAAAGATCCTAAGAAGGGCAACCTCCTACGCCACTCTAGTTACCCGACATGAACCAAGAATTAGGGAGAAGGCAACAGTAGCAAGATCTAGATTGATCATGGTTTTAGATTCATAAGCCTACAAATCTATAAATCAAACTTGGGAGGAAGAAGAATAACTAAATCTCACATGATCTTTCAGTGAGGAGGTACTAGGCACAAGCTAGGGCTTACCAAGGTGAAAGGCTGGTGGGGGTTGCGAGTCTACAGGGAAACGAGAGGGATAGGATAAAAATCTGAAAATCAGCCCTGGCCTCCTTTTAATCACCCAACTTCCTCTTTTAACCCCCCTCAAGTTTGTAAGTTTTGTTATTGAGCCCAACAATAATGATTTCTCCCACATGAATCCCCAACTAAATTTTAATTTTTAAGAAATCTTTATTTTTATTTTTTTTATTTTTTGGGTATTACATGAGGGATAAAAAAAGTGCAAAAAATAGTTAAGGGACCAAAAAATGCAACTTATAAAGTTGAGGGACTAAAATTAGCATTTAACCTAATTTTAATAGGGATTTTTTCTTTTGTACTCCATCTTGACGACCACGCTCTTTAGTTATTGATATTAGTTTGGTGGTTGATTAAAAATATATATTGATTTGGTGCTTTGGCATGTTTAATTACATTCAATGTAATTATTATTATTATTATTATTATTATTGGTATTATTATTATTTTTACTAATGACGTATTGATCCGAGTGAAAGAAGTTTAGTTCTCCTTAAATAAGGTTGATTAAAAATATATATTGATTTGGTGCTTTGGCATGTTTAATTACATTCAATGTAATTATTATTATTATTATTATTATTATTATTATTGGTATTATTATTATTTTTACTAATGATGTATTGATCCGAGTGAAAGGAGTTTAGTTCTCCTTAAATAAGGTCTAGAGTTCAAATTTTGTGAATGAAAAAAAAAAAAAAA